ATTATGTGATATGGCCTTTGAAAGGATGTAGCCAGGAGTATGTACTTTAAAAGCACAGAGTAGCCTGGAAATACATTGCTTGAAGCTTATACTCTGAAGCCAGATGACCTCAGTGCAAATGCCAGTCCTTCGGTTTGAAGCCCAGTAACCTTGAGCAAATAACACAGCCTCACCATCTCAAATTTTTATCTGTAAAATGGAAAATAATTGGATCACCTTTAAGATTGAGCAAGATCATGTATTGAGTATGTTTCATGGCACCAACGGTAAGGATTTTATATCTTATTACCAGCCAGGCATTGGTGGCACATGCCTTTAATCCCAGCATTCTGGAGGCAGAGGCAGGTGGATCTCTGTGAGTTCGAGGCCAGCCTGGTCTCCAGAGCGAGTGCCAGTATAGGTTCCAAAGCTACACAGAGAAACCCTGTCTCAAAAAAACCAAAAAAAAAAATAATAATCTACTTATTACCATCACAGGTTAAAGGTCATCCTAGAAACTTCCTTCTGACCCCCGCCCCTTCATTTTTCTCTGTGATATAGCTATAGAGTCTCATTAAATAAAAAGCTAAGAGGCTTGTATATTTCTATGGACTAAACTGCACTTTCCCTCATTCATATTAAGCTAAATCACTATCCCCAGAGTGACTATATTTGGACATGGCTCTTAGGTAAATAAGGTTAAACAAGTTCACAAGAGTGAGGTCCCACCTGCCTGCTCCACACGTGAAAGTGGCCATCTGTAAAGAAGAGAACTTTCACCAGGAACTAACTGTGGAAGTGGCTTTCGAGTTTTGGGACAAGACAATAGGTAGCAGCTGGATGACCTTTGCTAGTGTGCTAGTTAGTTGTTTTGTCAACTTGATAAGAACTAGGGTCATCTGGGAGGAGAACCTTAATGGAGAAAATGCCCCCATCAGAGGCCTGTGGGCATATCAGTGGGGCATTTTCTTATTCAATGATTGAATGTGGGAGGGTCCAGCAACTATGGGCTATGACAGCCCTGGGCAGGTACTCCTGACTTGACTTGAAATGAATCCTTTTCTTCCTGAGTTGCTTTTAGGTGTGTGTGTGTGTGTGTGTGTGTGTGTTTGTGTGTGTGTTTAATCACAGCAATAGAAAGCAAATTAGGACAGCTACAAAAACTTAGATTATTTTGAAAGGATGGTCAATGGAAATATGGATGTAAAAAGCTATCTGGGTCTAGGGAGATAGACAATGGATACAGTGCTTGCCATGTAAATGTGGGGACCAGAGTTCAGGTGTGTGGAGGTTTCTCATAATTCTAGCACATGATGTCAACTCTAGGTCTCTATATGCATATGCATACAAATTAAAATGCTCATATATATGTGTACTCCAACACATAACACTATAACACATAAGCATACAAAATAAAAATTTGTAAATTTTTAATTATTTGTAAATTTGACTATTCTAGCCTGATGATCTGATTCTGATCCCTGGGAGCCACAGGGTGAATAAAGAGAACCAACTTCTGCAGTTTGTCTTCTGATCTCCACACAAATATCATGACACACACACACACACACACACACACACACACTGAATATATATCATACATGTGTGTACACAACACATAATAAATGTAATTAAAAAGTTAAAACACAGACAGGTGGTGGTGGTGCACACCTTTAATCCAGCACTCAGGAGGAAGAGGCAGATGGATCTCTGTGAGTTCAAGACCAGCCTGGTCTACAAGAGCTAGTTCCAGGGCAGCCTCCGAAGCCACAGAGAAACCCTGTCTCAAATGTCCCCAACCCCCCAAAAAAGTTTAAGCACAACACACAATAAATGTAATTAAAAGGAAAAAACAGATCAGTAAAAATCTTATTTAGAACAATAACAAAAACTAAGATTACTTGAAATAAACAGCAAGAATGCTTTCACTCCTAAATGAAGAAAGCTGCAAGGCCAGGAGGAGCCAAGGAGGCAGCATTTACTGAGCATCACCAGGCTCAGGTTTGGTCTCCAGCACAGTAAAAAAGCATCCAAATTGATTAAATAAAAAAACAAGTGCAAGTTATATTCTTTGACCCACTAGTTTATTATTGGGTAATCTTCTAATGGTTTAAAGATTTACTAGTACATCTCAAAAATGAAAATCATTAGAAAAATCTAAATAGCAGGAAAATATGAAATAAATTATGGTATATCTTGCCTAGGCTGGCTTTAAAAATCATGATTCTGTCTGCTCAGCTGGTATTATAGGTATGTACCACTGTGTTCAGTTAATCATGGTTGTTTTTTTTTTTTCCCTTTGTGTAGCTCTGGCTGCCCTGGAACTAGCTCTGTACTTCAGGCTGGCCTCGAACTCACAGAGATCCTCCAGAGTGCTGGGATTAAAGGCATGTGCCACCAAGTCTGGTCTAATTATGGTATCTTTATGGTAAAATCTTCACAACCACTGAAGAGTTTTTGAGGATGCTACTGAGCTACCCTGGACTCATTTTGTCCAGGATGACTTTGTGTGGGAGAGATCCTCCTGCTGAAACTATCTTAAACAATCCCAGCAGACTAAACATTCATTTGTTATCTATTTCCCTCCTGTGTCTAGAGCAGTCACACCCTTCACTCATCCAATAATATTCAGGTTCTAATCTTCTATGATCAAGAAACAAGCTGCCTCCACCCCAACCCCAAACAAAATGAGATCAAGTTTGTTGGGAAGATGGAGAAAACAAAGATAAACAAGTGATAAAGATGAAGGGTCCCTTCCTGGTGTGCATTCCTTGGCAGTCTTCACTGCTCCTTGGCAATGTGTATATCCAGAATCTAGACAAGAAGGAGCACTTCTTAGACAAGTCAGTCATGTTTTCCTCCTCTCTATCAAGTCAGCTGTGTTTGTGGAGTTACCAGTTCATCTTAGACATTTATTGGAGCTGCCTTGCAACACTAAACTAGGGTTAGCTCCTGGACAGTGAGCATTGAGAAACAGTGAGATAGAGATTCTAAAAGAGATACAATCCCTTTATCTACCACTCAGTTCTCTACAAATAGCACAGCAGGGCCAGTGAGACAGCTTAGAGGGTGATGATACTTGCCACCAAACCTGATGACATGTGAGTTCCACCCTTGGAACCCACATAATAGAAGGAGAGATAGGATTCCCATAAATTGTCCTCTGATGTACTGCACAGCACACCACACACACACACACACACACACACACACCACACGAAATAAATGTAATTAAAAACTAGCATAGCAAATATTAAACACACATATGTTTATATAAGTAAATAAATAAAAATACAATTTAAACCTCTAAAAATTTATATTTTTGTGTACGTTTGTGTCACAGGAGAACATACAGGAATCAGTTCTTTCTTTCTACCACATGGGTCTAGGGGGATTAAACTCAGTAAATCCAGTTTAACAGCAGGTACCTTCATCCCCTGACCCATTTAAAATTTTGTTTTTTGAAATAGGGTCTCATTCTGTCACTCTGTTGCTCTTGAACTCATGGCACTATTCCTACCTCAGCCTTCCTAGAGGCAAAATATTTTAAGAAACGTTTGAAAATTACTATATAGGAATCAATGTGGGAGCACACATGTGTCTTTAATCCCTACACTAGGTAGGCAGAAGCAGGTGGATCTCTGTGATTTCAAAGCCAGCCTTGTTTACATAGCAAGTTCTAAGATAGCCTGGGCTACATGGTGAGACCTTACTTCAAAAGTAAATAAAATAAATCCCAATCACAAACCCCAGTATGTGGGCAAACTGATGAGTGATCTTAAAGCATACAAACTGTGAAATTCACAAAACCAAGTGGTACACTGCAAGTTTTCAAGCCCCAGGTTTCGTGATACTCACAAACCCATTCCCTGATTTTGTAAAATGAAATAAATCAGCTGGGTGGTAGTGGTGCATGTCTCAAGAAAAATTTAAAAAATTAAGTAAGCATCAACAAGTATATTTACATAGAAAAATATATGGTATTTAATTTTTTTCATTTTTTTAGTTTTTCAAGACAGGGTTTCTCTGTGTAGCCCTGGTTGTCCTGAAACTCACTCTGAAAGACCAGGCTGGCCTTGAACTCACAGAGATCGACCTGCTTCTGCCTCCCAAGTGCTGGGAATAAAGGCATGGGCCACCACCACCTGGCAACCTCTTAACAATATTTAAAAAAGAAAATGAATAGTTATGTTTGTGTTATTGGGAAATAAGATGGTCAGTGTAGGAGAAAAAAATTCGATTGTAAAAACCCTGAAATACTTTTTATTGTAATCATTAGTATACTTTCCTGATTCTTCCATCCCTTTAAAATATAGATGTCCTAGTTCTGCCCATTACTAAATGAGAAATAATGACATTGGAGAAATGAATGCTACTACTGTGCAGGTAAAGGTCTCTATAAATTTTCCCTGCTTAGAAAAACCAAGCCTAGGGGGCTGGAGAGATGGCTCAAAGGTTAAGAGCACTGGCTGCTCTTCTAGAGGTCCTGAGTTCAATTCCCAGCAACCACATGGTGGCTCACAACCATCTATAATGAGATCTGGTGCCCTATTCTGGTGGGCAGACAGAACACTGTATACATAATAAATAAATCTTTAAAAAAAGAAAAAAGAAAAAAGAAAAACCAAGCCTTGGAGAAATTATTGCTTCCAGGCCTGGGACAGGAAGCTCACAGGAGGTCCTGGAGGCTGGGGATGTAGCTGGGTTGATAGAGTACCCATAGTATGTACAAAGTCCTGGGTTTGATCTACACAGTGCATATCTGTAACCCCAACTTCAGGGGTTTGAGGTGAGGCAGCTGGATCAGAAGTTCAAGATCACCCTTAGTTACACTGGGTGTTCAAGGCCAGCCAGGGATACATGTGACCCTGTCTGAAAAACCAACCAGCCAAACAACAACAAAACTAACAGTAGACTTTTGAAGTACGAAGGGTTTACACTCACATGGAGTTTGTGACTTTTCAGTGTACCAATGTATTTTTATTGCCAACAAGTTTCTACATTATGAAAGAACAAACTACCTGTTGTCGATAATTGTTACTCGGGAAGGTGGGATCCCCAAAACATCACAGCTCTGCAAAAGTTCTTTCTTTCGAATCTCTCCTTGATTGTAGTAATTTCCTGAGGAAACAGATGGCGGTACTTTATCAGTGGAGGCCTGTCTGCTCACTCATTCTTATCCTGTCTTGTTCCCTAGGGGATTTAAACTGTCTGAAAAAGCCATGATGGTGGTAAGAAGTTGAAGAAAATAGAGCATACAATGTTAAGGTATTCCTAATAGCAGATGGCTAGCAGCATACATTTTGGCACCACCATCAGCAATGCCTATGCATCTATTTATGTATGCATAGATACATACTTATATCTACTGATCTATCTATCTATCTATCTATCTATCTATCTATCTATCTATCTATCTATCTATCTTTCATCTGTCTGTGCTATGTTGTACCTAACATGTGTGAGGTACTGGGTTTGAATGCCAGCCTCCCCTTTACAGACACATAAAATAGTCTTCAGATATCTAAAACTTATTTAAAGGATAGGGTGCCACTCTTAAGTATTACAAGAAAATGTTTAGGTACCATTTAGGAAAATATGCTGGCTAGTTTTATGTTGACTTGACAAAGTCATTTAAGAAAAGGGAACCACAACTAAGAAAATGCCTCCAGCCAGGGATTGGTGGTGCATGCCTTTAATACCAGTGCTCGGAAGGCAGAGGCAGGCAGATCTTTGTGAGTTTGAGTCCAGCCTGGTCTACAGAGTGAGTTCCAGGACAACCTCCTAAGCAATACCTGTCTTGAAAAAACAAACAAAAAGGAAGAAAGAAAGAAAGAAAGAAAGAAAGAAAGAAAGAAAGAAAGAAGAGAAAGTGCCTTCATTAGGGGCGAGAGATAAAGATGCTTTCCCCGCTTTACCCATTACCTTCTGCAGCAGGGTCACGAGAGTAGTAGAGCCAGCCCTGAACCTCCCTGTCTGGGCAGCACACTAGAGCTGACCCTATATACTGTCAGGGATGCAGGTGAGTTGACCTCTCCCCACTCAAATGCCCCCCTACAGCAATCGGAGAGAGGGTCCTGTACCTTGGGCAAAACAGTAGAGCTGATTCTGGTGATGTGAGTGTGAGTGACCTAGATCTGAGGGCCTGAGAGCAGGAGAACTGGCTCTGCTCCTTGCTACAGGCTGCATTGGGTGAGCAGCTGGGGCAGTGACCAATCCAGCTATCACCCAGGCCCAGAACCAGGCCTATGAGTTGGCCCACCCCAATATCCACTGAATCTATGAACTGTTGGAGCATGTGAAGGGTATGACCCTACAAATCCAAAACAGTAGGATCTCCATGACACAGAACAACAACAGGAAATCTAAGAGGAGCCCCAATGAAGGCTCATTATTAGAGTGTAGTAGAAACCAGAGGCCTGGAGCCAGATCAATGACTCAAGGCAATGAACACTTGCAAGTACAGATGAATGGACTAAGCTGGGAGGTGGTGGCACTTGCCTTTAATCCCAGCACTCAGGAGACAGAGGCAGGTGGAGCTCTGTGAGTTCAATGCCTGGTTTACAGAGTCAGTTCCACGATAACCAGGGCAGTTACATAGAGAAACCTTGTCTCAGAGAAAAAAAAAAAAAAAGTTGAATGGACTAAAGGGTAAACAGTGTAACTTAACAAACCATGCTACAGCTTCCAAGACAAGATTCTTCTCCTTTTTTGTTTGCTTTATTTCTTTGTTTTGTTTTGGTTTTTCTTTTAAATTTGGTTTTGATGGGGGCAGAGAGGTTGCAAGGGCAGAGGGCTGATGCAAGGGGATGGGGAGATAAATGGGATTGGAATACATGATGTGGAACCCACAAAGAATCAATAAAAGTTAAAAAGAGAAAAAAAAAAAAAAAAGAAAATGCCTCTACAAAATTGTGTTTCAGGTAAGCCCGTAGGGCATTTTCTTTATTAGTTAATGATGGAGAAGTTCCAACCCATTGTGGGTGATGCCATCCCTGGGTTTGTGGTCCTCTCTGGTCTATAAGAAAGCAGTCTGACAATCCAGTGGGTGCAAGCCAGTAAGCAGCACTCCTCCATGATCTCTGCATCAACTCCTGCCTCCAGGTTCTTGTCCTATTTGAGTTCCTGCCCTCTCTGTTTTTGATGAACTGTTATATGGAAGTGCAAGCGAAATAAACCCTTTCCTCCCAAGTTCCTTTTGGTTGTGGTGTTTATCATCACAGCATTAGTAACCCTAACCCCTAACTAAGACAGAAAACATCCTCTTTTATTTTAATTTATTGAGATAGGGTCTCTTTATTATATAGCTCTGGCTGTCCTGGAACTCCCTATGTAGATCAGGCTGATAGAGATCCACTTGCCTCTGATACCTAAGTGCTGGGATTAAAGGTGTCTACCAGCACAACTGGCATATCCTTTTAAAAAAGAGTTTAGTAACTAGTGGCCCATCAGTACCAGAAAAAGTTTATAGATACTCTTTACTTTCCCAACATATGAACCACAGCTCCTATAAATAATTCTTTTATGTAGCTTTACAAAAATAATACAATGAAGTTTTGGTGTTACTTAAAATGCACACTCATTTTGAGCATTACCTAGTTAATAGACTTCCTAATTAAAATTTCCTGAAAATAGTTGCATGTATAGTTTTTGTTTAACTTCCCTGAGTCAAAGTTCTTTGACTTGTAGCATGTGAATAAGGATTAATTCACAAGGTTTCCTGGAAGGTTACTTAATATATATTAAAGCACTCAATTAAGTGGTGTTTGCTTTCTCTTCCCTTTACCATCTTTGTTTGAGATAGGATATTAATATGTACTTCTGGCTGGCCTAAAACTTATTGTGATCAATTAATTTTAAAATGTATTTGGTGCCGGGCGTTGGTGGTGTACACCTTTAACCCCAGCACTTGGGAGGCAGAGGCAGGCGGATCTCTGTGAGTTCGAGACCAGCCTGGTCTACAAGAGCTAGTTCCAGGACAGCCTCCAAAGCCACAGAGAAACCCTGTCTCGAAAAATCAGAAAAAAAGAAAGAAAGGAAGGAAGAAAAAGAGAAAGAAAGAAAAAGCTGGGACTATAGTACATTGCTAGAGGGAACATAGAATGGTGTAACTGCTATAGAAAAGTGTCTTAGGGTTTCTTTTCTTTTCTTTTTTAGACAGGGTTTCTCTGTAGCTTTAGAGCCTGTCCTGGAACTCACAGGTGGAGGAGTGCTGCTTACTGGCTTCCTCATGGCCTGCTCAGTCTGCTTTCTTATAGATCCAGAACCACTAGCCCAGGGATGGTATCACCCATAATGGGCGAGCCCTCTCTCATTGATCACTAATTAAGAAAATGCTTTACAGATTCAGCTGTAACTTTTTCTGTTGTTGTTTTTTGAGATAGGGTTTCTTTGTGTAACAGCCCTGGCTGTCCTGGAACTCACTCTGTAGACCAGGCTGGCCTCAAACTCACAGATCTACCTGCCTCTGCCTCCTGAGTGCTGGGTTACAGCTGGATCTTATGAAGGCATTTTCTCAACTGAGTCTCTTTCCTCTCTAATGACTCTAGCTTGTGTCAATTGACATAGAACCAGCCAGTACAAAAAATGTGTAAATTATTCAGAAATTTGTTATTTATTTAGTTCCTTTTTTGTTTTTGAGATAGGGTCTTACTGTGCAGTCCTGACTGGCCTAGAATTTGCTATGAAGAAAAGGCCAGATCCACCTGCTTCTGCTGGGACTAAAGTCATGTACCACCATGCCTAGCCTATTAAGAAATTTATGCACTGTATCACAGTGCGACTCAACAGTTACATTCACCCGAACATACTTTAAAGGATTAGAAACAGTTATGTTCAGATACTTGTACATCAATGTTTATAGAGTCATTATTAACAACAGCCAGAGTACAAAAATCCAAGAGAGCAGCATCAACAGAGGAATGAATAAAAAATATGATACCTACACAGAACAAAAACATTATTTAGCCATGAAAACAAATGAAGTGGGGCTGGGATACATTTCAGTGGCTGAGTACTAACTCCTGCCTCACCCACCAAAAAGGAATAAAGTAGACGGGCATGGTGGCATAGACTATGTCCTGAGCCACATACTGCATTTGAAGCCAGCCTGGGCTTCATGGCTGAGATAGATACCAATACAAAACAAAACCAAAAAACCAAAAACCAAAAAAAAAAAAAGTTCTGAAACATGCTATGATAATGATGAACTTTTACAAATATTAAGGTACTAGAAGCCATGTATAAAATAACAATGACTGAATGATTCTATTTATATAAAGCACCTAATAGCTGGATGGTGGTGGCTCATGCCTTTAATCCCAGAACTTGGGAGACAGAGGCAGACAGATCTTTGTGAGTTTGAGGCCAGCCTAGTCTACAGAGCGAGTTCCAGGACAGGCTCCAAAGCTACACAGAGAACGCTGTCTTGAAAAACCAAACCAAACCAAACCAAACCAAACCAAACCAAACCAAACCAAACCAAAATAAGGCACCTAAGCAGGCAAATCCACAGAAACATAAGGTACAATTGTAGTCACAGAAGCTAGAGGAAGGAAGGAATGGAGAGTTATTGCTTAATGGGTTACAGAGTTTCTCTTTGGAATGATGAAATAGGGGTGATGGTTACAAAATCTTGTGAAGATACTTGCAACTGCTGAACTGAACATTTAAATATTTTCAAAATAGTGAGTTTTATGTAATAAATATTTATGACACAAATGAAAGAAACATTGAAAACAGAAACCAGTGTTTCACTCAATACAACTCTTCCAGAGGGTTGGTGATACGGTTCAGCAGATAAAGGGGCTTGATGCTTAGCCAAATGACCTGAGTTTGAGCATCAAGACTCAGGGTGGAAGGAGATTAAATAGAGTCCTTTAACCTCCATATGGCATGCACAGGTCCATACACATATGTACATGCACTAAATACATGTGATAAAAATTTTAAAATCTTTTGAGTTATTATAAAATATAAAATATGCCTTTAAATTTGATAGAACAATTATAAAATTTTTAAAAATGTGTATATGTGTGTGGGGGTTTGCCCAATGCCTGAAGAGGCCTGAAGAGGGTGTCAGATTCCTGGAGCTGGAGTTACAGGTGGTCTTGAGCCAGCCACCTGACA